CTCACTGTTCCTTCAAAACCAGTACTCCCACTGCCCACAGCCTCTCTATCACTGTTCCTTCAAAACCAGTACTCCCACTGCCCACAGCCTCTCTATCACTGTTCCTTCAAAACCAGTACTCCCACTGCCCACAGCCTATCATTGTTCCTTCAAAACCAGTACTCCCACTGCCCACAGCCTCTCTATCATTGTTCCTTCAAAACCAGTACTCCCACTACCCACAGCCTATCATTGTTCCTTCAAAACCAGTACTCCCACTGCCCACAGCCTGTCATTGTTCCTTCAAAACCAGTACTCCCACTGCCCACAGCCTCTCTATCACTGTTCCTTCAAAACCAGTACTCCCACTGCCCACAGCCTCTCTATCACTGTTCCTTCAAAACCAGTACTCCCACTGCCCACAGCCTATCATTGTTCCTTCAAAACCAGTACTCCCACTGCCCACAGCCTCTCTATCATTGTTCCTTCAAAACCAGTACTCCCACTACCCACAGCCTATCATTGTTCCTTCAAAACCAGTACTCCCACTGCCCACAGCCTATCATTGTTCCTTCAAAACCAGTACTCCCACTGCCCACAGCCTATCATTGTTCCTTCAAAACCAGTACTCCCACTGCCCACAGCCTCTCTATCACTGTTCCTTCAAAACCAGTACTCCCACTGCCCACAGCCTCTCTATCACTGTTCCTTCAAAACCAGTACTCCCACTGCCCACAGCCTATCATTGTTCCTTCAAAACCAGTACTCCCACTGCCCACAGCCTCTCTATCATTGTTCCTTCAAAACCAGTACTCCCACTACCCACAGCCTATCATTGTTCCTTCAAAACCAGTACTCCCACTGCCCACAGCCTATCATTGTTCCTTCAAAACCAGTACTCCCACTGCCCACAGCCTCTCTATCACTGTTCCTTCAAAACCAGTACTCCCACTGCCCACAGCCTCTCTATCACTGTTCCTTCAAAACCAGTACTCCCACTGCCCACAGCCTCTCTATCACTGTTCCTTCAAAACCAGTACTCCCACTGCCCACAGCCTCTCTATCACTGTTCCTCCAAAACCAGTACTCCCACTGCCCACAGCCTCTCTCACTGTTCCTTCAAAACCAGTACTCCCACTGCCCACAGCCTCTCTATCACTGTCCCTTCAAAACCAGTACTCCCACTGCCCACAGCCTATCATTGTTCCTTCAAAACCAGTACTCCCACTGCCCACAGCCTATCACTGTTCCTTCAAAACCAGTACTCCCACTGCCCACAGCCTCTCTATCATTGTCCCTTCAAAACCAGTACTCCCACTGCCCACAGCCTCTCTATCACTGTTCCTTCAAAACCAGTACTCCCACTGCCCACAGCCTCTCTATCACCGTCCCTTCAAAACCAGTACTCCCACTGCCCACAGCCTCTCTATCATTGTCCCTTCAAAACCAGTACTCCCACTGCCCACAGCCTATCATTGTTCCTTCAAAATCAGTACTCCCACTGCCCACAGCCTCTCTATCATTGTTCCTTCAAAACCAGTACTCCCACTGCCCACAGCCTATCATTGTTACTTTTTTTAAACTTTATCAATTTGAGAGGCAAAAAATAAAAACCTGTTAATGAGGATACATTGAAAAAATATATTTACTGGCCATCGATTTTTCTTCTTTTTGGAACCATCTTTTCATGTCCTTTGTCTATTTCTCTAGGTCAGTGACTGTCTTTTCTTATTGATTTATAAAGCTCTTTCTATAGTAAGGACGTTAACCTTTATTTTTATGTGTTAGCAATTACTGCCATTTCTGTATTTGTCTTTTAACTTTATTCAGGCCAAGCCCCCATTAGACCTACTAATCTTTCCCCATGATTTACAGCTTCAGTTCTTAGACACTTCTTTCCAGCTCCAAGATTATTTCAAAAAATTACCTTTATATGTTTCTACTTTTCTAGTTTTATTTTTTACATTTAAATACTGGATTTATATGGAATTATGGTTGTCAAATATGTGATGTCTTATTATTTTTCAAAACGGAGCCTGTTTTTCCAACATCAATTACTGTTATACTAAAGAAGTTTCATCATAAAAATGTGAGAGAATGTTGCTGCTTTCTCAGCATCTGAGAAAGCCATTCATCTGTTAATATGATAAACTGTACTAGAAGATCTTCTCATTTTGTGACATACTGGGATTCCTGGAACAATCCTACTTGCTCGTAACTTATTACTATTTTCATACATAGCTGAATTCAGTTTCTTATCTTAACATCTATACTTGTAAGTGATCGTGGTCTACAGATTGCCAAGCTTTGAGAGCTTCATTCTTTTCCATCTTTCTTAATGCTCTGGAGTGGCTTTAATGATGTAGGCGTTCTATTTCTTGAGGGTGAATTAACTTGACCTTTAATTTGTCTTGGCTGACTGCCTGGGTTTAGAGGTATTTCACTAACCAATTATTTTCAAAATTCTTTCAGGTCTATAGATCTATGTCGGTTCCTTATTTATGAAATAATTTCAGCAACTCATGTTTTCTTAGAAAACGTTATTTTTCACTGATTTTCAAATTCATTCAAATTTGAAATAATATATGTTCTTCATATACTTTAAAGATACCTATAATTTTTTTCCTCTGTCACACACGCTGGAACGCAGTGGCGTGGTCTTGCCTCACTGCAACCTCCATCTCCCAGGCTCAAACAATCCTCCCACCTTAGCCTCCAAGTAGCTGGGAGGCCAGATGTGTGCCACCAAGCCTGGTTAATTTAATTTTTTTGTAGAGACATGGTCTCACGATATTGTCCAGGCTGGTTTCTACCTCCCAGGCTTAAGTGATCCTCCCACTTCACAGCCTCTGTGAGGAGCTGGTGCTACAGGCATGCACCACCATGCCTGGCTACATTTTTGTAATTTTAGCAGAGACGGGGTTTTGTCATGTTGCCCAGGCTGGTCTCGAACTCTTGGACTCAAGCGATCTGCCTGCCCTGGCCTCTCTATGTGCTGGGATTATGGGCGTGAGCCACCACACTCCACAGCAATTTATTTCTAAGCAATCTTTTCCACGTCTGATAATCAGTAGCACAAGTTTTATATTTTCAGTTTTGTAGAATACAAATTAGAGACTTAAAGATTTTTCTCCTGTTACGCAGTCTGTTTCAGAGATGCCCATATGCCTGGAGGCTCAGCTGTGTCTTCCGAACTTTGGAATCTCTGTGGGCGCAATGACATTTCTGTCTCCGCATCTATTCAGAGAGAGGCTGGCCTGTGCTTTTGAGAACTGAGAGTTAGCATGAGTTTTGTCAGATACTGAGTAGATCTCTGTTCAGGTGTCTCAGGCTTGGGTGGATGGAGACGGGAAACTTCTGGGTGTGCTGTTTTGTCTGCCAGGTGCCAGGACAATCAGGGAGGTGTGGAGAAGGCCATGCTGGTTGGCAGCAGCCTTGTGTGCAGGGCTGCTCCTCTGCGAGCCCCACAGCTGGCAGGGGTCAGGCGCCTTCCCTGGGCTCACAACCCCTCTCCACGCCCCAGAGCTGGCTGCGTCAGGCGCCTTCCCTGCGCTCGCAAACCCTGGGGCAGGAGGCAGGTTCGGGCTGTGGTTTCTTTCTGGGTGTGAGAACGGATGAGGTACTGCTGCCTCTGGGATGCCCCCAGCTTGTTCCAGCCTCCTGACCACCCCTCTGCGGCTGACGGTCGACTCCCCTGGGGTCACCGCCCTGAGTCTCAAGGGCACTTCTCTGCGAGCTCCAGGTGTGCTGCCTTACCCTGACATACAGACAGTACCTCCCCCTGCTTTCTAGAGCAATAACCATTTTCATCCTCTACTTATTACAATCCTTTGGTTATTCCAATGAGAGTCTGCGGGTGGCCGGGAAGGGTGAGAGATGGATCATTTGTGCTCAGGTAACCTCCTGGAATGAGAGGCCCAAAGACACACATAGTGAATTGCCTAGTTAACAGTTCATCCACACGGATTTGGTTTTGCTAAATGATCACCATTCTCATACAGCAAGGCATCTTTATGCAAAGAATGGTCCTCTTACCACCCCAGCCTACTTCCTCAATCTCTCGTCTCCACTCTGCCTTTCCTTCTAACCCAAGAGCTGTCACCTCGCCCCACTGCCACACCTGTCACACTCCATTCCAGGCCACCAATGCCACCAGAAATCTCTGAAGTCGCTCCAGTGGCTTAATTGCATCGCAAAGTCACCAGACTGGATAAAGTTATTCTGCTGACCTGAAACCTGTCAGATGTACCGGCCCCTCCCCCAAAGGGCACGCCTGGACAAGCTGGCCAAGGATCCTTCACCAGCCACCCCCCTAGTCACTGCTGACTACCTACCGCATCTCAGCACAGGGCCGGGCAGCTCGCACCACGGGGCTCCTGCCTAGGGCTGCACCCCCGCCTCGGTGCCTCCCGTTCCTCTCGCAACACCAGCTGAACGCCTCTCCTCCACAGAACCTCCCTCCTGTGGGGGAGCCCACCGCTGCTCCACACGGGCTTCCATGAGGTTCCTGGCTACGGGGCCTGCTCTGGCCTTTGCTTCTGTCTGCTTTTTAATTGCACTGGCTTTTTATTTTTACGTGCATGTGTGTCCTGCAACATGAAAGTCTCCCTCCAAGAACATAATAAAGTAACTGAAATCGAGTGAGCGAAGTATCGCCTGGCAGAGATTCTCAAGGAACCTGCTTTGACAAGTAAGTAAATGAATTTCATTGGTACAACAGTTTGCATATAAATAGCTTCAGAAAGTCCCAGGGAGTATGAAGGATTATTTGAAACTTTCTGCAAACGTCCAGTACAGTGAACAGACTGTTAAACAGACACATACCTAAGGACTGCTCACACCCACGTTACCTCCAGTGCCACGCTAGGCAAGCACGACACAGCGCAGAAGGCGGAGGTTTCGCCACAGCCACCTGCGGGGGCCGCCAACCCCAACCCAGCCTGCAGGTGAGGTCGCCGAGGATCCTGCGCTTGCCGACTTACGGTGGAACGTGCAAGGCCAACATGCAAGTGGCAGCGTACCTTTCACCAGCTTCCCGTCCGGGACGGTCTTACTGGACGACGCCTCCTTCTTCCCGCCTGAGCCTGCCCGTGCTCCCACCTCGGCCGTGTCTTCAGGCGCGCCGTCCTCCCCAGTGTCACTCGGCTTCTCAGGAGCAGAGTCTGTGGGAGCCTCTTCCGGTGCGGACACAGCCTAGAGATGAAATGTCACTATAAACTGTCAGCAAGAAATTATACAGACATTTTCAAAAAAGAGAGATGTATACAGTATGTATGTTTCACTGGACAACGGCAACTGTACATTACTGCCCAAGCAGCACTGGGAATAGACTTCCATATCCAGATCTGCTATTTTTTCTTACAATAGAATGTATCAAAGAGGAGCAGAAGATTTTCTCCTGTCTGAAAAAACACTATACTCTTTGAAGCCCTAATACTGCCTTGGGAACCAATCTTCGGTACCTTTTCTTTGGACGCTGATTACTGAGAATTCTTTAAAAATACCAAATTATCCTCATCACCTACAGAGGAGTCAGTTTCTTTCAGTGTGGGCCATGCCATCGGAGATAAAGGTCTGAAGAAATCTCCTGAGAAGCAAGGTCCATGTCATCTCTTCACCAAAACTGGCTTTACAAAAATGTCAGGGTGTCTGTATAACTGAGAAGAGCAGAGCAAAGGCAGAAGACGGGGCTGCGGGACAAAAAGCACTTCCAAGGGCACCAGCACCACGCCGGGGACCTGGTGAGGGGGAAGGGCATGCAGGAGCAGGCAGAGACCATGCTGCAGGACACCCCCAGCAGCAGCTGGCCAGGTGTGAGGCGCCCACATATATATATATATATATATTCTTTTTTGAGACAGTCTCACTCTGTTGCCCAGGCTGGAGTGCAAAGGCATGATCTCTGCTCACCGCAAGCTCCGCCCCCCGGGATTCATGCCATTCTCCTGCCTCAGCCTCCCAAGTAGCTGGGACTGCAGGCATCTGCTGCCACGCCTGGCTAATTTTTTGTATTTTTAGCAGAGATGGGGTTTCACCATGTTAGCCAGGATGGTCTCGATCTCCTGACCTCATGATCCGTCCGCCTTGGCCTCCCAAAGTGCTGGGATTACAAGCATGAGCCACCGTACCTGGCCATATTTTATATATTTCACACATGTTAACACAACACATGCAGGGTACCCGGCTGTCAGGAAATGTAGCTAAAAACTGTAGACAGCCAAAACATTGAACAGCTGAAGGAACAGGATTTTTTTTGTTTAGAATGTGCTGGACAAACAATCATCAGTACTGTGAATGTGGGCAGATGCTTTCAATAGATCAAGTTCCAGAGCTAAGGGGGACGTGAAAGATGGAGTATGCCAGACACACATTAAAGAAAGGTGAAGAATCACCCAGCCCTTTCACCTGTAGGAGAATAAACAGAAAGTGACTTCTGATCTGGAAGGCAGAGCCACCTGTAACAGCTTCACGGCCTCCCGGTGTGCAGACACGTACCTGCGTGCTATCGCCCCCTTCTTTCTGGAGGAAGAACTGCTTCTTAAACTCATAATAGGCATTATACTGGTGCCATGGCTGCAGGAATTCAAATCTGAGCAGAAGGAGAAAGAAAATGGGTCATTTACCAACATAAGCACACTGAAGTAACAACAGGCCCTGTTCTCCTAGCTCTTTACTGATCTCCACAACCCCACAAGGTGGTTACTATTACAGCTACTCATAGACGAGGGAGACGGCATACAAGGGGTCGAAATCCCTTGCCCAGGGTTACACAGGTCACACGGCAAACTGACAACATATTTTTAGGCTTTACTAGCACTGAAGCATGGGACATTACTTGGTTTTTAAAAAGAAGGGTTTGTGTCTAGATTTTTAAGGCAGATTCTTGAAAACCATGAATTATAGGGTTTTATTTTAGGTAGCTTCAAAATTCTTTTTTTTTTTTTTTTTTTTGAGATGGAGTCTCGCTCTGTCGCCCAGACTGGAGTGCAGTGGCCAAATCTCAGCTCACTGCAAGCTCCGCCTCCCAGGTTTACGCCATTCTCCTGCCTCAGCCTCCCGAGTAGCTGGGACTACAGGCGCCCGCCACCTCGCCCGGCTAGTTTTTTGTATTTTTTAGTAGAGACGGGGTTTCACCATATTAGCCAGGATGGTCTGGATCTCCTGACCTTGTGATCCGCCCATCTCGGCCTCCCAAAGTGCTGGGATTACAGGCTTGAGTCACCGCGCCCGGCCCAAAATTCTTACTTAAAAAATGAAACAAACAAAAAACAGGTAACATAATTTAAAAACACCACCCCAAGTCTAAGCAATTTAACAAGCTAATTTTTTTTTTTTTTTTTTTTTTTTTTTTGAGACAGAGTCTTGCTCTGTCGCCCAGGCTGGGGTGCAGTGGCCGGATCTCAGCTCACTGCAAGCTCCGCCTCCCGGGTTTAGACCATTCTCCTGCCTCAGCCTCCCGAGTAGCTGGGACTACAGTCGCCCGCCACCTCGCCCGGCTAGTTTTTTGTATTTTTTAGTAGAGACGGGGTTTCACCGTGTTAGCCAGGATGGTCTTGATCTCCTGACCTCGTGATCCGCCCGTCTCGGCCTCCCAAAGTGCTGGGATTACAGGCTTGAGCCACTGTGCCCGGCCTAACAAGCCAATTAAAAAATGTATTTATCTAAAGACATTGGTTGGGTGTGGTGGCTCATGCCTGTAATCCTAGCACTTTGGAAGGCCGAGGCAAGTGGATCACTTGAGGTCAGGAGTTTGAGACCAGCCTGGCCAACACAGTGAAACCCTGTCTCTACTAAAATACAAAAATTAGCCTGGTGTGGTGGTGCGCACCTGTAGTCCCAGCTACTTGGAAGGCTGAGACAGGAGAATTGCTTGGGCCCAGGAGGTAGAGGTTGCAGTGAGCCGAGATCACGCCACTGCACTCCAGCCTGGGTGACACAGTGAGACTCCATCTCAAAAAAGACATTTGAGCCAAGAAAAGGATTAAAAATACATAAAAAAAAAATTCATTCTGTACCTACATTTTTTAAAAAAGGCTAAACGAAATCCCCAAATGCCATATACCTAACATACAAAATTCTTCTTCTGACCTTTGATCATTCTTGGCACGAACACTGGTCTCGAACTTCAGGCCGTTCCTGGCGACATACTCGGCTAGCTTGTCAATCACAGGCTGGACGTCGGGGGGCGGGGGGATGATGGTGGCCACGGGGGCAAGTGCACTGTGGGAGAAGAGTCTGTGAGGCCCCTGGGCCTCAGGGGCTCGCCAAGCTCCGTCCTGGCTGCTCGGAGGTCCTCACCGCCTCAGATGTCCAGAGAGACATGTGAGTTACAGTATATAGGGGAGGCTCTTGTTGAAGGTGATGCATACGACAGAAACTAAAGTCAACTAGACAGGATTATTGTCGAGTGAAAATGGGGATTTTAGTGATAAAAGGTGCATTTTTCCTAGTAATTAACATTTCTCCCCAATCACAAGCTAATTCTTAGAAATAAACAAGAGTAAGTTTTTGTTGTTGTTGCTGTTATATTAAAAAAAAAAGTCAGCAAGCATGATTCAGCTTTCTTCATTTCCTGTTTGACTTGCTCAGCATGACCAGAAAGAGTCGTTTTTACAGAAACTCCCGTGTTTTATTACATTTCCCAAGAGCCTCCTTTCAAGGCCGGGCATTCCAGGCCCTCTGGTAAAGCACCTGTCTCCTCCTCGTCCCACGAACACTGGGGGCCCTCGCTGTTGGGGAAGCTAGGGCTCTGCCGATGGCTTCACAGGTTAACTGAAGTAGCTGCCAGGCCCCTACAATGGCCAACAGCTTGGGAGACTCATGAAGCACCCCAACATCACCTTCCTCAACTTTACGAACCTGCATGTTTTACAAACAACTGCAGTTTCACTGCATACTGATTTTGCCTAGCACAGCTCAACTGAGACTCTGACACAAAGCGCAAGAACAGATGCTGGAGATCTGGGGCCAGCGTGCAACGTGAAATGAACTCAACTTTATAAGAGGTTTAACTTCAACGCTAAAAAGTTTGTGCTACGACCATTTCTGTTTTCCTGTCAACTTTGTAACTTGGGGATTTGGAATAATAACTACTCAGATAATGGGGACCCCTATATGTGATCCAGATTACAAGCCCCCCATGGAGACACAGACGGCTCCAGTGACTGCAGTGCTAAGTGACCCACACAGCAGGCACCAGCGGACCCTGCTCCTACCTTGTGGTGGTGGTTGTGGAGGTGGCCCCGCTGCTTGTCTCCGTCGTGGTTGGGGGCGGCGGTGGCGTGGTCCCAGGAGGCGGTGGGGCAGTGGTCGTCACTCCGGGGGAGTTAGACACGGTCACACCAGCAGGAAGGGTGCTGTAGTAAGTGGCCACGTCGATTCCGGGAGGGGGCGGCGCCAGGCAGTAAGTGCCATCCGGTAGCATGTAGTAGCTGTAATACATGGCTGCCACGGTCGCTGTGGAGACACATTGCCCGGGAGTGAGCGTGGCCAGCGACAGACTGGTCCGTGAGTCTGCAACACAGTCACAAGAGCCTGTCCCCCGGCAAGATGCAGCCTTGCTTCTGCTCACTTCCAACCATGCTGTTTTCTAGATTTTTCTGATACAAAAATGTTGTCTGTGCCATACGCAATTTAAAAGAACCAGGCAAAGCCACAACACACATCCAAAGACAGATGGAAAGTGAACAGCATGAGGATGTTCAAAGCCACCAGACGTGAATATTCTCTAGACAAATTAATATTCTCCTTAACTTCAAAATGTGCAGGTTGGGAACAGTCTCCTCTCTTGCAGCAACCAGTCACCCCTTTGCTCACACGGCTCACGAAGGCCACCTATGCTCCTAAACGCACATGTGAGGAAACGCCTCTGGCTAGCTGCCTGCGCTGACATCAGCTTTCATTCTCCAGGCACACTGCTCCCTCCGTTCGTTCACACGTTAATCCGGAAACTACCCCCTCGGTAAGGCAGGTGCTCCTGGCAACCCCGGTGTCAACCCCCGGCCCCAGCAACACAGGCTGTGCGGGAATTTATCCAGTAAATAAAAGTTCCCAGGGGCACTGAGTCTGCGTCTGGACCTTTCCATCACAGAGAGTGATGTACGCCATCTTCCCCCCTATTCTGTGTACACATGCAGGTATCTGTAGGGCAGTGGCACGCTGTCTTAACAATTAAAAATCCTGTACATTTATCCTTTTTGGGGCTAAATGTTCAGAACCATGAATCGCAGAAGATTCAATGATTACTTATGAAATTTAATTTCCAGTCCTGTTGTAGATAAGCAAGTAGTTCTGACTACACACAGATTTAATTTCCTCTTTATTAGGAGATGGCAAAATTATTTTTCTAATTAAGAACTTTTATCTTCATTTTCAAATAATTCACCTTGAAACGATACCACTGAAAAACAGTGAAAGCTTAACCATGGTTTCCAGTAATGTATGCTATGCAGAGAAACATTTCAGAAGTACGACTTAGACTCTCTTGACCTTTCCGTCATAGATTGGCGAGGCAGCATAATTCCTACGTACTGTCGGCATATTCTCCAGCTGCCAACGACTTATTTAAATTAATTACACACGATGAACTCCTAAACCGTCGTTCTGTAGCTCCACGTTATATACCAACCACCATGACACAGAAACAGCAATACTCCAAATTTTCAAAATAAGATAAGTGGGCTCAATGTACTCCACATTATCGTCTACACAGAAATATCTGAGTACCATCTCTGAGAAAAGGCCGGGGGCAAGGATGAAACCCTTGGAGGTCAATGGGAGGAGGCTGACAGCAGGGCAGGCCCCGTCTCTGAGGTCCTACGGGGCAGGTCCTGTCTTCACTGTCTCGGTAGCCTCTGCGCTGAGCACAGAGTACGTGCTGGACCGGCGAGCCGACCTGATCGTCCAGCACAGGCTTTCCTATCAAAATCAGGAATCCAAATATAAGCACGTGCTTCTGTAAGAGACAACGTCGTCCCTGGAAGAGGGGAGCTGCTGCTTCCATCCACTCCCTGCTGGAGCCATCAGGCTACTGTGTATGGGCCAGGGTGAAGCCAGCACTCCAGGGGAGACAGCGCAGCCCACTGTGTGCTTGGCTCTGGGGAGGGCTGGGCGGAACCGACGCCACTACTGACTGGCTACTGTCAGGTCTCAAGCCTCCCACCTCAGCAGGAAGGACGGAAACCCCATGTCCTGCCCTGGACAGTCAGTCTCATCCCTAAGAAGAAGCCCAAATATGTTTTAAACTGGGGCCACAAAGGAAGGGATCTGAATTCATAAAAACAAACAAAACAAAACAGTTTATAATTATTTCAACTAGTAAGTACATATTACGCAACTCCAACCTGATACCTGCATTCTTTATGTAACTGTGTAAAGTGCAATCACCCTGGAACACAACAGAGATGAAGAAGTTATTTTCAAAGCTAAGCGCCATTTCTTTGAAAGAACCCGCAGACTGTTAGACTATATGACCTTCCTGAGCATTCCATCTTGTTAAATAAAAACGAAGTGTTAAAAAAAAATAGCAGTGCTGGCAAAATGGCAGACTACTCAGAGACTCATCCACTACAAACGTCAAAAACGTTGGCTAAAATATAATGAAAAATTTAGCCTGGGTGCAGTGGTTCACATTTATAATCCTGGCACTTTGCGAGGCTGAGGTGGGAGGATGCTTCAGGCCTGGGCAGTATTGTCAGACCCCATCTCCAAAAAATAAAATCAACTAGCTGGGTATGGTACACACCTATCGTCCCAGCTACTTGGGATGCTGTGGCAGGAGAATGGCGGGAGCCCAGGAGTTCGGGGCTGCATTGAGGTGTGATGGCACCACTGCGCTCCAGCCTGGGTGATAGAGTGAAGCCCTGAGCTGAGCTCACAAAATGAAAAAAAGGCTGTCTCTAGGTGTAAAAATGAAACAAATCCCCAAATCTGAAAACACCTCCAGGGACATCCTAGCCTGGGTCCCCAACTTGCTTCAGAGGCTCCACACAAAAACCACCCAGGCTGACCATGCTCTGGGCACACCCTTGACCCAGACTCAGGAGATTCTCATGGAGGAGAGCTGTGAAGCCGAGATACGCGCAGCCTCTGTGAGCCGGTCTGCTACTAGCCACTGCTGCTGTGACCTCTTCCCTGTGATTCTCTCCAAGGTTTTAATCAAATTTGAAAATCGTCCTGCTTCTCAAAAGGACTCCAAGAGAAATAAAGTATGTGCTGTTCAATGAGATGAAAACACTCATCTGTCGGCAGACGGTGGAATGTGGAACGTGGGGCGTGTCCTGTGGCACTGCCATGCTCCGAAGTGGCCCGGGAACCAGTGCCGCAGGGGTGCATGAATTCCGCTACACTGCTCTTGGGTTGCCTCTCCCAGATTCCCATTTCGTAGGGTATCAGGGATGTGAAGATCTGAGGGAGGACATCAGATCCATCCTTCCCCAGATGCTGTGGCCCTGGTGGGAGGCAGGACGGGCACAAGGCATCTGGAACAGCCCAGGGCCAGTCTCCTGAAGGGCTTCTGCCGCTTGCCCAGCCCGCCCCTTGCCCTGGTTTCTGGTCCCCAGGTCTCTGTCCTTGGCACGGCCTCACAGGGTCTCTGCCTGCCACGAGAGGCCCCTATTCAGCTTATCTCCAGTGCCACTTCTTTTGGGAAGCCTCTGCCTCCTTGGCAGACTCAGGAGGCCTTTGCTCTGGGCTCACGTGCGACCTCACGTGGGACCCTGTACACAATGCCCTAAGGCGACTCCTGTGCCAGCCACCAGGACTGGGGTGCAGCTATGGCCCCAAGGACTCCACATCTCCAAATAGTGACCACAAAACCTCAGCAGCTCGCACAGCTCCTGGCATGAGCAGGCCCTCAGTAAGTGTCTAATGAGTGAGTTCATGCCAGCTGGTGGCATGGCCTGGGCTGCTTCTAAAATGCCTCAGTGCTAAAATATCCCGCAGTGACCATGAAGCTGCTTGACACATGCCCCACACAGTGGCAGCACCACACAGCTGACAGAACCCTTTAACTGGACTGAAGCCCTTTAAACTGACTAGCAACTACAGCACACAGGGATTTTGTACACAGCCCCTTGTATGTTGTATACAGCAATTCTCATGAACACTAAACTTTAAGAATTTCTGGACTAGAACAGGGTGAGAACAGAATTAGAATCTACGAGCTGGGCTGTAGTCTAGAAACTGAAGTCTGGGCTGGCAAAAGTCACATCAGCTTTACAATAACTGTGCTATCACTAGTCATAAATGGGGGCGGGCACAGCGTGCCGACAATAACTGTGCCATCACTAGTCATAAATGGGGGCAGGCACAGCGTGCCAAGGGGCTCCTGCTGTCCTCAGGCTGCCACGACATGCAGGGAATCTCCTGGGCTTATCGTGAGGCTACTTCCCAACAACCTCACCATACACTGACAACACCGTGAAATGGAAAATGCACTGAATCCACCTGTAGCCTACCCAACATCATGGCACAGCCTCCCCTGCCTTAAATGTGCTCAGGGCACCTACAGTAGCTGATGGCTGGATGAAATCATCTAACACGAAGCCTATTTTATAATAAAGTTTTTAGCATCTCAAGTAATTTACTGATGCTCTACTGAATGCAAATTGCATTTGCCCCACCATCAAGTTGAACCCTCAGTAAGCTGGGACCACATATATTTTGTTAGGTTTGTTGCTGTTCTCAGGATTTTATATTGAATTTCCCAAAAAAGGACTAGGTTTTAAAGTAAGTTAAATGCTGATGTAATGTTACTCTAATAAACACTATGAGTACTACGAAAGCCTACTCCAAATAAATCCAAGAAAGGAATTCCAACAGGTACCTACACAGTCCCTAAAGGCAAGTATAGCTGTACGAAGAGAACCAAGCTGCTTAAAAGCAGGAAGCACATTTGTAAGTCCTTCTTCCCCAATACTGCCTCCTCTGAAACATGCAGAGCTACTTAACACAGGTCAGAGAAATCTGCCTAATTATCTCCCAAGGCCCCTCTATTCAGCTGGCTTCTTACAAAAACCAGAGCCAGTTTCCTGGTATCTCCGCATGATCTTAATCTCGTGTAAATTCAACAGACAGAACAGAACTCCTGTGCTGAGAAGGTTCTTAGAGAGGAGGAGACTGGTGAGCAACCACCTTTCCGGAAGAACTAAGTCAGGGAAGATGAACAATGTGTGCATTAAGAATAAAAACAGGGTCAGGCGCGGTGGCTCAAGCCTGTAATCCCAGCACTTTGGGAGGCCGAGATGGGCGGATCACGAGGTCAGGAGATCGAGACCATCCTGGCTAACCCGGTGAAACCCCGTCTCTACTAAAAAATACAAAAAACTAGCCGGGCGTGGTGGCGGGCGCCTGTAGTCCCAGCTACTCGGGAGGCTGAGGCAGGAGAATGGCATAAACCTGGGAGGTGGAGGTTGCAGTGAGCTGAGATCTGGCCACTGCACTCCAGCCTGGGCGAC